GACAATAATAATAATAACATAACAGCTCACCAATTTAACATGTTCAGCTCTATAACATCTAAATGCACCTCTCCAATGTCTAACAGAAAAAAAATGTATGAAAGTTTTTTAGTGTATGGCCTGCATCACTGTACAGAAGACTGCCATATGATAGCCATATTTACACTGTGCGCATGGCATACAAGTATGCCAATTTTCCTAATCCCTGACAAATAATTTTTAAACTAGGGTTATCTGGGTGGTGGGTGAAATGGGTGGAGGGTAAAATAGCCTTGTTGTTGTTTTTTAGCCAAGTCGAAAAAAATGTGTCTGATTCGCGCCGGACAAAAATCCCCGGACAAAAATCACGCCATCTGGCGGTGTACAAAGATCTACAAATGTGTAGATCAGTCTGTAAACACGCAGAAGGTTGCAGGTCATTCTTCTATTATTTAAAGTTTCACGCATCTGGAATTATAAACAATATATCTCAACGTTATTTTTGACTAGTCAAAACTATATATTTGATATCTGAATTAGGAAATAGGCCCCTAGTGTTGTTACTGAGCGAAGCGATCATAACAGGTGCCTGCAGAAGAGAAGAAGGACCTGCAACCTCTGGGTGTCACAATAGTCTCACTGCTGCTACTCTGCAGTTATAACAGATTTAATATTGTAAGAAATAAATTTGCTCATGGATGTTTTTTTTTATTATTATTACATGCTGTTTACTCTCATGTGTCCCAGGAGGATGAAAGTACCATTTTCAGTTTTATTTTCAGATTTAGGGGCCTAAACTCAGTCACTGACTTGCCTAACATCTTATATGCTCTAGATCAAAATAGACTCAGAGTTAGGCTGTTTTCAAATTCATGGGATGCATCTTCCAAGGACGCGGTCCACCTGGCCTGGATCCTTCAAAGTCCTTGAAGTTAAGGAGACTGGAAGAGTTTTGGATTTTATCGCAGTACACTCTGTCACTTAGCAACTAAGATAGTTGACACACAAAGCAGGAAAAGAATGAAAACTTTCCAAACCGTTTCTTTTTATAAAAAAAAAAAAAAAATACTAATTTTATTGTAATACAGACTAAGACAACACTCATGAGAATACAGAGTGGAATAAAGGTGCCAACCACCTGGAGCACGAATAAATGAAAGAAAAGGTAATGTTAAATGGCATGCTGCTCTCAATTTGCACATCTCTGATGTTGCTGCTAATTTGTCCATAGTGTATATATATATATATATATATATATATA